TTAAAAAAATAAAAAAGGGCTGGGGATGTGGCTAAGTGTTTAAGAGCCCCTGAGTTCAACTCCTGGGAAGGAAGGAAGAAAAGAAGGAAAGAAAGAAAGGAAGGAAGAAAAGAAGAAAGGAAGGAAGGAAGGAAGGAAGAAAAGAAAGGAAGAAAGAATGAAAGGAAGGAAAGAAAAAGAAAGAAAGAAAGAAAAGAAAGGAAGAAAGAAAGGAAGGAAGGAAGAAAGGAAGAAAGAAGGAAAGAAAGAAAATGAAGAAAAGAATTATGTAATCAATCTCCCTTTTAAAAAGAACATTTAAAAATATTTTTTGCATCTGTTAAGGTCATCCAAAGTTACATGTAAAGAGGCAAAATGTTGACATAATAATAATACATTACAAAGTCAAAGGTACAGCCAGCTTGACCTAAGACATACTCAGGCCAGGCTGCGGGTGTGGCCTGAATGTGCAACAAGGGTTCCTTTGACAGAAGTGTGGACCCCACTGGGGCAGCCCTGAGAGGGTGGAGACTCTAAGAGTGGGGCTCAATGGAAGGTGACCAGTCAGCAAGGCTTCAATGGTGTCAATCTCATGGAGTGGGTTCTCATGACAGTAGGCTGTCACACAGCGAAGCCATCGCACAGATGTGGCCCTTCTGCCTGGGCCAGCTCCCTTTCCATTCCTAACAGACAGAGGGGCCTCTTCAGAATGCCAGAACCACTCTGTCTGGACCCTCTAGCCACCAGCACTGTGGGCCTAAAAACCTCTTTGTAAAGTACACAGCCTCAGGTATTGTATTTTGTTATAGTCACATAGACAATTCAATACATAAACATGTACTGATTCAGTACATAAGGACTTTCATTATTAAACAAACAAACAAACAAAAGAATAAAATTTGGGTTCATCCACAAGCCACCAGACCATAAGCATCCAAGGACAGCCACCATGTTTCTCTTGCTGCCCGGCAGAATGCCTGGTGTACAGAGGAGGGTGGTAAATAGTCCTCAGTAAATGAATTCAAGATATCAGGAGATCAGCAAAGCCAGCTACAGGAAAGTGAGAGGAAGAGGAGGACGGAAGCAGATGTGAATGGATTACAGAACCCAAAATTAAGTGGAGCAAATAAAGACCTGTATCTTTAATAAAAAAAACATAAAACAGGAAAAGCCTGGTTTGTTGAACCAAAAGGAGGACAAGTAGCAGCAGACACTTGGACTTAGCCGAGGGATACATGCGCTTTCCCACTCCTACCTCACACTCACACCAGCCGGCAAGATGAACTCAGGTGGACTAGAGCCCACAGTGTGCAAACCAGACCCGACAACTGCAGGGCAAGGCCTATGGGGACACCTGAAGAGACACTTCGACCATCAGACCCAAGAACAGGAGATTTGTTTACTGGGTATTTGAAATAAACCACTGCCCCTCACTCAAGTTTTTTAGGTGCAAGGGGCTAAATCTTAGGCCTTATCTTTTGGCAGTACATGCTAAAATACTTATAGAAGAAATAAAATCTGATAGGATTAGACTCAGAATAATTAAGAGAAGAAGGAAGAAGAGAGAGAGGTCCTAGGTGAAGAAAACCGGCCATAGCAGTGATGGCACTGGATGATGACAGACACATGAAAGCTGTTAGACTCTTTAAGGATTTTTAAATTTTCCTAATTAAAAAAAAAAAAAGTTAAGAACAAAAATGAAAACTAGATGAAGAAGTGTCCAACCTCAACAGACACAAAATCACACTGAGATGACCTTTCTCTTCCACTGGCCTGGAGAAAGTTCAAGTGTCCAAAGAGAAACTCAAGCAGTCTGCAGTGGATGGCACAGCAATACCCAAAGATACCTAGGCCCTCATCCCTGGAAACCGTGAATGTCACCTTCTGGGAAAAGGGTCTCAGGCCATCATTCAGTGGAGGATTCCAGTAAGGAGCCCTGCATTACCTGAGGACCCTCTGGCTCTCATGAACACCAGGCAGAGACCTGAAGATGCTGGGCTGCTGGGCTGGGAGGGGAAGGGCTGCAGCTCTAGAAGCTGGGGTGAGGAGATGGTTCTCCCCGAGAACCTTGGTTTCAGCCCATGAAACTGACTTCAGACTCCCAAGCCCCAGTAGTGAGTGAGACAAACACATGCTATCTTCAGCCACTCCATCTGTGGTAAGAAAACTAACACACATCCATGGGGGACACATGGCCGCACCCCCAGAACCACATATGCACTTCACCTTACCAGCAATCCCACTCCTAAGAACCTGTCCTACAGGCAGATCTGCAGAAGTGAACAACAAGATCACCTAGGCACCTTCTCTGTAAAAGCAAAAACGGGTCAAACAGGAGCCCAGGATTGGGGAGCTGAAAGGAGAGAGCACAAGGACCCAGGGGACACTACACATGCATAGCGTGAGAAAGGCCTCTGCATGCTGACTGAAACTCATGAGGGCACTTTAGTTAAAGTCTGAAGGGTGGGACGCAGAGTCTGCATCAGAAGCTACCACTTCTTTAGGGACAGGCAGGACAGAAGAGCAAGAGCAGCAAGATGTTCTTGGCCAATGATTTCAATCTTCAAACCATGGAGATTCATTACCTAGTCAGGCAGGTGAAGCTGAGTGTATAAAAACAAACCAAGAAAAGTTATTTGCAAGATACATAACTTATCAATACCCTCAGTATTAAAAAAAAAAAAAAACATTTATTCAAGTAGAAAAAAAAAACACTAAAACCCCTAAAAGAAAATGCAGGAAGGATGGAAACAGACAATTCACAGAGGATATATGAAAAATAAGAAGCATGAGAGTGTTGAAAACACAAAGTATCAGAGAGAGACAAATGACAATGATAAGTACCATGCTCATCTACCAGTGGTGAGAGCTCCCAGGGGGAGGCATGCAGGCCTGCGGGCTGTGTGGTGATGTGGACACGCACTTCCAGACCCCCAGGCTCCCCTCTGTCCTGCAAGAACGTTAAGATGCTGAGACCCAGCAGTGCCAATCCTGCGAACCCACCCTCTAGAGAGGTGTAGATAAGTCAAAGCATGTGGGAACATGCCATGCTCAGTATGTTTATGAGAGCAAAAACTGCAGCCAGTCCAATGGAGAGCTGATTAAAACCAAAATATTTCATTAACTGAATTTTTAAATATCACAACTTAAGATTATTAGCAAAATGCCAAAATACTCAGATTTATGAAAACAAAAAATAAAATTCAAAACCGTGCAATCTTAATTACTGTAAGAATATCTTATGTAACAATATATTAATTCATCTTTTTAAAACTACATGATTAGCCAGGCACAGTGGCACACAACTGCAATCCCAGTGGCTCGGGAGGCTGAGGCAGGAGATCATGAGTTCAAAGCCTTAGCAAAAACGAGGCACTAAGTAATTCAGTGAGACGCTGTCTCTAAATAAATAAAATACAAAAAAGGGCTGAGAATGTGGCTCAATGGTTGAGTGCCCTTCACTTAAACAAAAAGCAAGAAAGAGTACATATGTTCATGGGAAATAAAATTAAGGAACAAACCAAAATGTATGGATTCAGTTTGACAACAACCATTACAGGTGGTTTTTGTTTATTTACATGGTTCTATATTTTTTCTAATTCCATATAATTAGTTGCATCACGATTAAGACAGTGAATTCTAGTGTTTAAAGCCCTCTCACTGACCCTCCTTAATTCCAGTTGATCCACACACTGGGACCAACTCATCCTCCTATACCGGAGGCAGGTTTGTCACACCTCCTGTCACACCATCCAGGCAGGTCCCTCATTCCTCTCCATAAATGATGGTCACAATGGCCCTCAAAAGGAAATCACTCCTCCTTAGTAGTCTCTTAGGCACCGAACAGACATGTTTTAAATGTATAGTTCCTACCCTTAAAAGAGGTGGAACTCAAGCAAGTATATAATAAAAAAGAGCTAAAATCAGTAAATTAATAGCGTGAATTAAGTCCCATTTAAAAAAAAAAAAAAAAAAGAGGTGGCAGCGGCAGCCAAGCCTTGCAGTGTCCCCTGAAAACAGAGGTGGTCAGAGAGGCAGCAGGGCCTCCAGGCCAGGAAGGTCGAGGACTTGTCCTCTCGCAGGGCAGCTTCCCAGGAGTCTAGACCATGCAGGGGAGGAGAGAGTCTAACACTAGGACCTAGAGTCAGGAGAATTACCAATGACCCCAATGTCACATCAGGCCAGGGCCACTACCTGAGAGAACTGAGAGAGTCTCCCTGCTGCTCACGCTGTGGGGCCTGATGTGGCTCAATTCTCATGGCACCTGGTCAAGGACCCTCCCAGCTCCCCTGCAGGCAGCCCTCCCCCATAGCCCCAGCTCCACTCACAGAACCACAGAGTCCCTGCTGACAGGCCACAGGGTGATCCTGGCATCCTACCCACCAATCAGGAGCAAACTCAGAAAGTGAGTTTATAAAGCTTCGAAGCGCTCAAGTGTGGTCTTACCTCTGTCCATAGCAGAGTTCCTCGTCCTAAGGATTCCTCCTGTCTCAGAGACATGAGGAGTGCAGAGACATCGCAGAGGGACACTTGCTCCTAGGCAGGGAGTTTGAAGAGTACCGTTTAGTATTTGTAAGTGAAAGGGATGACCATCATGTGACCTGGTTATGATAGAACATCTCCAGTTACTCACTCTGCACACGGGTCTCCCATCCCCAGGACAGGGTAAATTCACCAAAGTTCCCAGGGCCCGCAGAGCTACAGCCTGCTGAAGGTGCGGGGCCAGGCTGCTGCTCCTGTCCACAACCACACCCTGAGACAGACCCACAAAGGGAATTTGGAGGGTCACTTACCACGTCCACCAAACGCAGAGCCGCCTGAAGTAAATAGCACTGTGCTGCACCCCGCAGCAGGACCTGGTGTGTGACCATGGTGCACCGAAGAACGTCCCTGCCATCAAACAGAGAGGACCCTTCCACACCCACCACCTAGACATAGGGCAGCCCTTTCCACAATCCAAAGACAATGCTAACCATCAGTGACTACTGATATAACTTTACAACTTCAGTATGAAACAAATCTCTTCTAAAAATAAAAATGAAGACGCTTTTAAAGTATGAATTTTACATTTTTTGAAACACACTCTAATCAATATTATGCATTGATATTTTATCTTTAGTTTTATACTTACCAATAAAAAAAATCTTGCTGGCCTTAAAATGGTCAAAGTCCAAGAGCACATATCTTGTACCCGTTTAAAATTAGTAATTCATGAAACAAAGTGAGCTCAACTATATAGTGTAAAATCATTGACTGAGCCACATGCTTTGGACTAGAGGACAGGGAAAAACATGGACAGAAAAGGCAAACGAACAGTCCTGTACCTGAGGGCCAGCAGCCCTTCCACTCCCAGGGCCTTGCACCGCGGGACACTCGCCAGAGCCCTGGACAGAAAGAGCACAGGCACTGCACACCAGTGCCTGCTTGTCATCTTCTGAAGGAACCTGAGCAGAAAGCCACCTGGAAAAAGAGGGAAAGGGCGTCTTTGTCAAAGAGTACCAGGAAGACGCTCAGTGCCCTAAGGTACAAGGGAAACGCAATGCCACCCCACAGGTAACTCCACACCTGCGAGGACAGCGAGGGTGGCAGGCTCCAGAGACCTGAGGGCACCCGGGGAGCGTGGAGTCTGGACCTGCATACGGGCATGCCAACAGAGCAGCCACCCGCACAGAATGGGCTTCTCCAAGACACCATCGGCGTACCCTGTGACCCCACACCCAAGGGAACCAAAAACAACAGGCACAAACCATGCAAGTGACTGCCAGCCATCCAGGAGATAGACAAGATGGGCACTGCCCACATGGTAGCATGAGCCAACCGCGGGCAGGAAGGGTGACATCTGCATGAACCTCAGAAACATGGCTCAGGGAGAGGGGACGCCTGGCCGCAAGGTCCAGCTACAGCAGCAGAGTTGCTGGCGGCTGCTGGGAGCTGTGGGAAGGAGGGGGAGGGGGCCTGCTACCAGCATGGAGGTCGCTTTGGGGCTGATGGAACACTCTGGAATCAGATAGGGTGGCAGTCGAACAAGTGTGAGGACAACCAACCACACTTATAGGTTAATTAACAACACAGGACTGAGCCTGTGAAAGGGTCACTGAGAATTTCAATGAAGCTGTTGTTGCTTTAAAAAAAAAAAAAAATCCATGTTCTTTCAGTTTCCGTTTCCTTCCTATCTAGGAAGATAAGACACCCACAGCGCCATGGAGACGTGGGTCGCCATGCAGGTACACTTTTTGAAAAAACTAGCAGTAAGGCTTCAGCTGGCAGGAGCGGGAGGCTGGCCTGACCCTGGCCTCAGCAGCACACCTTCCTCATAGCTGTCCTACTGCCCCGGACTCCAACACTTCTCTCCCAAGACTCAGGGATGGTGCTTTCCTTCCTCCTCCTCTGGACTAAGGGGGGGGGTCAGCCAAGGCCCTAGGGCCATGCAGTTAGTGACAGTCACCATTTTCTCAGATCAGCTCTGTAGAAGGACTTTAAGAAAGGTCGGAATTGCCCATGGGGGTTATACATATTTCATATCTTCTAAAGTAACCAACACAAAACTAGATATATTCACAGAAACTGTGACTGCAAAAAAAAATCACCAAGAACCGACCAAAGATTTCAACTCTCTCTTCTGGGCACACCAACCAGGGTGTGGCCAACCTTCACTCAAGACGCCAGGAGACAGTGAGTTGCCTCACGCTCATCCCACGGACTTACCAAGCCCAGGTGAGCCATGAATGCCAGGCACCCTGACCCCACCTGGTGGCACTGGGGTGTGGCCCATGTGGGTGGCTGGAGGCCAGACCTACAACTAAAGCAGGGCTCCAAATTGAATTCTCCATCAACTGACTGTTTTAAAAAAGCAAGCGAAACCACTGACTTTCTGTAAAACTTATAATAATGACTGAAACAGACCATGTTTCCCTTTCTCCTGAGTTTTAAACTGAAAGAATCATTGGTCATCTGGTCATCTGGCTTGCAGATTAACTACAAAGGACAAAAAAGCATCCCACAGCCTGGGTCAACTTCTAGCTCACGGAGCAGGACTGAAGGAAGGACCTGAAAGCACAGCATCCGGCTGCTCAGCCAGGGACGCCCACGGTACCTGCGCCTGCGACCGCTCACTTCCTTGGGAAGAAAAGCAAACCCCCAATCTGAGTGGAAGGTGGCTTCTAGGACACAGGTCTCCTATAAAACACATGTATTTTTTCTTATCTTTCTAAGCCAGTGTCAACTGCAGAAAAATGGCCACAATGGATATTCTGTTCATAAGTGTTCTTTACAACCAGAGCCTGTCGTTGTTCCATACAGTTCACTAATCATGAACTGAAGAGCAGAAGGTCACAGAAGACCACCAAGCGCAGCACCCCCACCTCACAAAGGCTGATCATGCCAGCACCTCAGTGCCATATCTGCCAAGGCAGAGCGCCTGCTGGCTTAGACACATCCTGGATGACCGTAACCAGTGGCTCGTCCTAGAGAACACCAATGACAGGTAACATGGCAGTGCACACACCAACAAGCTGATAACATCAAGAAACGGATAAAGTGTTCGAAAGTTGAAAAACCTCTTTTCTGACACATACTCTTTATTTCTTCTGGAAGAAGAGAAACATAAGTGACTAAAAACTTCTGTAACTTTAATCCCAATGGAGAACCACTTCCTACCAGCTGGCCTGGGGACCTACAGACAAAGAAGGGAGAAAAAAACATATTTAAATCCACTTACAAGTGAGTATATGCAAACCAGTCTACACAGACTTCGGCCCTAGAGTCTTTCTACAATAACATGATCAGAAAACCTGCTTTTTCTGAACCTGCCCTGAATTCTTTAGCAAAGTTCTGAGGCTGTTTCTGGTTACAGAGACGGCAGGGCTTGTGGGAAGGTGGGCAGGTGTCACGCCCCACTAGGGAGGCAGGACCCACCAAGACAGCCTCCACTTGGCCCCTGTACATCTAGCTAAACGGCCCCTTGAAAAGCAGTAGCCTAAAATGGCAATAAATAAAACTCTATTTTATTGCTTCCAACATTGAATTCAATGACTTTAATTTTTAGGCCTGAAATTAAAAAAATTCATAGCAAAGACAGACATCAGTAATAAATGACGTCTGCTAGAGTGTCTAACTCTTGGCGTCTGCTGAAGCCACGTTTCTGCTCCATGCTTCTGCCAGGAGCACTGTCTGCTAACTGGACCCTGCAGCGCTAGGAAGAGCTGTGTCCACTCCTGGCAGCACTGAGACTCCCTCGCTGGCCTTCCTGCTCCTCAGCTGTGCTCAGCTCAGAGCACACCTTACAGCAAAGACTTGGGCAAAGACTGAAGCTCACCAGCACATCAAACACTGCCATGCTCCCTTAATACTTACACACAGACACTGAGAATCAGCACAACATGGCACTGACATCAGAAATTCTTACAGAAACTGGCATGGGGGGTTCTGTTTAGCAGCATACCAAACAGAACACTTGAGCTTTAAATTTTGTTAGTTGACATTAGAAAGACAACACAATTCAAAAGCAGAGCATTTTAAGACATAATTTAGAATAGATAGTTCTTCAAAAAACAAGGCCAAGGCACAACCCTGACCAACACTACTCACAGCTAAGTTTCTCAAAAGGTAGAAGTGGCAAATAAGTGGACATTTTATGAATCGTGACAGTCACTGTCAAAGGTGGAAAGGAAAAAGGTCAGAAGTGACCCTGCAGTTCTGGACTGAAGTTGGATATACTGGAATGAATCCATGGTTCTTAGGATGGACAGACAGGTAAATGGATGGGTGGGTGGATGGATGGATGGACAGACAGGTAAACAGGTGGATGAATGGATGGATGGGCAGATGGGCAAATGGATGAATGGACAGGTGGATAAATGGATGGATGAACAGATGACAGATGGATGAATGGATGAATGGGCAGATGGATGGACAGGTGGAGGGATGGATGGATGGATGGGCAAATGGATGGATGGACAGGTGGATGAATGGGCAGGTAGATGGATGGATGGATGGATGGATAGGTGGATGAACAGACAGATGGATGAATGGGTGGATAAATAGATAGACAGCTAATGAAATAAATCTATATGGCTAACTCTGGTCAGCAAACAGACAAGAAAAAAGCTGCACACACACACACGCACACAGGTAGAGGTAACAATTGAGCAAATATGGTGGAACATTAACATCTGGAGAACAAGGATGAAGTTAAGTGGGAATTCTTTATATTATTCCCAGAACTTTTCTACTGGTGTGAAACTTATGGGAAAAGAAAAAGTTAAAAGAAAAAAAAAACAAGGTTCAAAGTGTTAGTTGGCCAAAGTCACCACAATTTTCAGAGTGGCAGAAAGCAGGAGCAGGCAAAGAGAATGAGCTATATAAAATATGGCTCTCAAAAGCCCAGGAATGAAAGAGTTCACGGTAAAAGGAACAAGCAACAAGGAACATGTGATGTAAATAATAGAAGGTCAGAAGAATAACAAATACAGCACTATAAGATTTAGGGGAAAAATGCTGATTTTCCATAAGGCAACATAGGTTATGCACCAAACAGGTTAAACAATCTGGTTATGCTTCAAAATGTCAAACCTATATGTCAATACGTCGTCCTGCATTACTGCTAGGTGACAGAATGCTTACCTGCCATAGAGAGAGCTCTCTGAAAGGGCATCCATTAATGGTCCAATAATAAACTGAAAAAAAGAGAGAGAGAGGCAGTGGAGTTTTAACTGCACATGTGGAAGGTGACACCCCCCCCCCCCGAGGCCCACGAAGAGGCAGAAGAACTGTGGTCAGCAAAGGGACTCTCATGCAGCAGTGAACTCAAGAGGGTCCTGGGGGAACCCTAATTCTACCAGAATGACAAAAAAAGGACAGAATTTTCCCACCCATAAAATCCTACAGCACACTAGGGAGTTCACACTGTGGGTCAGAAAGAAGAGACACCTGGGAAACAAAGACAGTAACAAGAAAAACAGAGACACTCAGGGAGGACTGAGCCCCACGCTCAGTGGGGAGATTCACATCCTAAAATCCTACTTGACACTAGTCAAAAAAACAAGCTCATGTGAATCGGGAAGGAGACACAGAAAAATGATGCGTGTCCAACAGAAGAGCACAGACCCAGGGGACTGGAAGAACTGACTGGGCCACCTGTCAATCAAAGGGGCTTACGTGTCCCAAGGCAGGGATCTTGAGTCACAGGGACTATGCCATGCTCCACTGTGTGGTTCCTAACAGTCGGAGGTCAAACTCTAAGGAGTGAAGCCAGGAGGCCAGCTCTGTATAAGACAGGGCAGCAACACAGCTGGGGGACACTGTCATGCAAAAGCGTCCACATCAGCTCTCACACTCTGGACCAGTGGAGTCTGAAGAACAATGGCAGAGGACTACTTCCTTACGAGGGCCACATTGCAGGCGGCCCCCAGTCAGTGTGTCAACAGATGACACAGCTGTTCCCAAGCAGGGTAGGGTTACCATTGGCTTCCAGGAGCCTAGTTTGAAAGAGCCATGGTTCCCCTATTCTTCTAAAGTTAGAGCTGGTTCAGAGAAACAGGGTATGCTGTGTGCACTCTGTAACTGAAGGTCACTGATGCGGTGTCCCAAGCGCTTTCCTGAGACCATGGTGACACGACAAAACAAATGCGTGTCCCTCTCCTGGCAAGGCAGCGAGGAGGGAGAAGGTGTGTTACCTCGGAAAAGTCTGGTGAAAATGGAAGACACTCAGATTCATACAGCTCCAGAAAGTGGAGAACACCTTCTTTGGTCAGGATTTTATTCTCACTCTCAAACATTCTTTTATAAACACACATGTGCCAGGAGGGGTGAAAGAGCCAGCAGCCTGTGGAGATAAACATTTAATGCTGACACTGGGCCCTGTCCATGCACAGATATGTGCACAGACACGTTGCTTCACTATCGCTATGGAAGTGAGTTTGCTTTACTATATCCAAGGGCATCTGCTAAATAACCAAAATAATGTTGGTGTTCAGAATTCTGTATTCAGATAGGTTCATTTAAAGGACTACAAACAAATGTGAAACATGCTTCGGTATACAAAAATAATGTTACCCCTCGCGGGCAAGGGGGAGCTTCAGATCTGGGGTGCTTTCAACCAGCTCTCTGACCCACTTCAATCCAGTTTTCCTACAGGAATCTGAAACCATCACTTCCTCTGCTTAAACCCTGGAGCAGCTTCCCACTGCTCCCATGAGGCCAGACGAGCCATGGACTGACAAGCCACAGTTCCAGGAGCTTGTGCTGTCTCCCTGTGGGCGCTTAGATAGCACACCCAGCAGAGGCCTCCGCTGAACACCCCGCACCCTACACTCCACCTCAGCCTTCTCTGCTCCCTCCAAAGGACCTAAAATCAAACCTCGTTTTCCATAGAAGACAAAACTCTAGTGAAAAGGCACTGCACCTCTCCTACCACTCTGTCCTCTGTGCTTAACATGAACTGCCTGCTAAGTAAATATCTATTAAGTGAAAATGTAATTGAGTGAGCAAATGAAAGACAGAAGAACTGTGTACTTTAGAGATATTTTTATGACTCATGAAATTTCCTTTAATTCTAGTAGGAAAAAATATCCGGGATTTTTAATTCATGACATTCTATAAATAAATTGGTCATTATTTGTAATTTATATGAACATGCTTGTTCAACTCTGGCGGTGGTAATTTTTCAAAATCGGTCACTGCTATTTGATTTGGTTTGCCAAGAGCTGTGGGCAAAATGTGGTAATAAGAGCATCATTTTAATAGTAAGTGCATGAGTACAGCCACAACAGGATCCAATTAAATGCTAGCCCCAGGTGGGGACATGGATGCTTATGGTCTGTGAAAAATCCCAGCATCTCAGGAAACAGCTACTGCAATCAGCAGAGAAAAGCTCAATTCCTTGGGGGTCAAACTATTAAAGTCATAATTATCTAGAGCAGGCGCTAAAACCCATTTACCTAGGTTAATCCTCATGTGTAAACACAATAATGCAGCACTTTATCATTCTTATAAATCTAAAACACTGCTGGCCTGAATTTAGCTGTTTCATTGATCTAAACTCAATTTCACAAAATAATTTTCAGAAGTTCAGTTTCATCGTATTTCTCCTAGAAAGTTCTCCTAATGCAGCAGCAATCAAAGGCTTAAAAAACATGTTTACACTTATATTCTAGAATTTTCTTTTCCAAAGAAGGCTAAAATACATGACTATATTAGAACCCCAATGCTCTAACAAAAAGATAAACATATGTTTATATATGTAATAGATATATTGAGAATAAAAATGGAGGGGCTGGGGATATAGCTCAGTTGGTAGAGTGCATGCCTAGCATGTACTAAGGCTCTGGGTTCAATCCCCAGCACCTCCACAAAAAAAAGAAAAAAACAAAACCCAAAAATGGAAAGCAGTCAGGGTGTATATTCCTATCAAAGAGCTCTTGTTAACATATAACACACACCATCTTTAAAGCTCTAAGAACCATCCCCGTCTTTTAAGGACCTACTGTGAAATGCCTGTGGACACCAGGACTATGGTACCTGGTTGAGGCATAGGATACACATCCGCAGTAGTGGGAAGGGATTCATCCCACAGCTCTTTCCCTTATAGACATGCATGGAATTTTTCATGACCAAAAGTTAAAAAACAAATTAATCCTAGCTCTGAACTACAGAAAACCCTGCCACCACTTAAAGCTATTTAAGGAGATGGTCAAAAGTGGCACAGACACTACTGAGTGTGACGAACCTACAGACAAGGGGACCTAGGGTCTTATCTGCCTGTCGACAGCTGCCATCACTCGGCAGCAACACTACAGATGATTCATGTTTTCTTCCTTACATTGAAGTAATTTTTCCCAATTTTCTACAATAAACAGGGATTAGTTATAAAATCAGGCGGTACAGGGGGACTAGAAATATTAGTTAAAAAAAAAAGCAAAAAGAAAGTGATCATTACCATGTTCCTCTGACACTGCATATTCAAACAGATTGTTTAGCTTTGGTAAGACTGGCTTTATAACATGTATCTAAAAATAAGAGCAAAGAATCACATGAAATGGAAATATCTTTAAAGACTCAGGCGTCTATTCGTTGACAGCAGACCTTGTGACTTTATCCTGGTGAAACTGGCCTTGGGGGCCTGATCTTTCCACCTCTGGACCATGGCACGACTCCAGTCCTCCGGCCTGAGGTGGCAGAGCCAACCCGTTGCAGCCCAGAGCCCAGTTAGGGTGGTGCCTACACTCACAGCCAGCAGCCCATGTGATGGCAGGGCATCCTGACTGGCCTGGAAGCAGGTAGGGATAGACCCAGAGGTTGAAAGAGAGGTACTGAAGCTTTCTCCAGTAACTCAAGTTGTGCTAGGTCAGTCTGCGGAAGTGCAGCCACTTCCCAACTCAGTGTTCCTCCTGCCTGGGGCCATGCTCTGGCTCCTTTGCTAGATTTGACTTAGATATCCTTCAAAGTATGTGCAAATCTGAGTTTCTAAAATAAGTAGTGGAGGTTTTATGGACCTACAGACCAAAGAAACCCCACAAGTTTACTTGATTCAGGAATGCTTCTCACCCTGGATGTCCAGCTCCTCAGCACCTGAGTCATTCTCCACTTTGATCCACCAACAATGCTTGGTGCACAGGTGGACTGACATCTCACAGGACTCTGCAAGGAAGCTGGCCCTTTGGACTGCGACTTACAGATTGGACTTACACACCAGAGGACAGCAGCAGAGACACTACCTGGGAGCTATCTCAGACCTACTGAATCAGAAGGTCTAGGGCCGGGGCAGTAGTTCATATTTTATAACAAGCCCTCTAGGTGACATTGATGTTGAAGTTTGAGAATGCCAAGGGAAGTCAAAGATGGTAACATGAGTCAGCTAAAAGTATTCTTCACTTTTCTGAAACAATTTATATGCTTTTGTAAATTGCATTTGTGCCAGAAAACAAAGGACACCTGGCTTCTATCATGCTATCTCTAAGTTGGTCTTTCTTCCCTACTTTTAATATTTGAAAAAGAGAAAATCATGTGTACTATGGGATTTGCAAAAATATGAGAACACTTACCTGATTTCCTTCTAGAGTTTCCATGAGTAAAATATAATTTTCCCAAAATTTTAGAAGCTCATCTTTTTTCTTCTCAGACCACCAAAACAGACTTGGGCCTAATACAGTTAAAAAAAAATTAGTTATTTATTTTGCAAATCTAACAGTTTTCTTCATAATAACAATTCTTACACTAATGCCATTATTACCAAATGTACTCTCTAATAAAGGAGGGTGTCCCTGCACCTAAACCTGGATAGGAAGTTTGGGAATCTCAAAAGAAGAAGTGTGCTGCTGTCCTCTGTTCATTAAGATAAGAATGACAGATCTGCACATATAAACTCAACTCCCCTGCCCAAGACCCTCACTGTAACAGGAAAGGTTTTTCAAAGGCCAACATCCCAGAAGAATTAAAAAAAAAAAAAAAAAAGAGAAAGAAAATAGCAATAAAACTTAGAATTTAAAAATCAAACTGGAGAAAAGATAATTTCAAGTAGACACAGGGAAACAAGCAACAATTGGATCTGCACTGCACGATCCGCCATCAAAGGACTTGGCTGCTGCAGGAGCTTCTCCAGGTGCAGGTGAGCAGCTAGGTTGAAGAGGATCCCATATCCAGGATTTGCTCACAGACTTAGAAACAGGATGCTTTAAAAGGGACATTCCAACAAACAACAAACAGATCTCATGAGAACTAAACTTGATAGCAAAAACAAGAAAGGGCTGGACATGAAAGAAATCACCCAGGGAGTAAAGACACAGAAAACCCTGGGAGAGAAGAGATGTTGGTAGACCAATCCAGGAGGTGCCCAGAGCAGAAAACAGCGGGAGGAAATCAACAACAGAAGCACTCAGTAGGGGCCCAGGAGCCAGCACCAGCATGAAAGCAGACCTGTGGCCAAGCAGGGCCCAGCACCTGACCTCCTACACAGGATCCAGGATCTCCTCCAGAGACTGTAGGTCTGCATCTTTAAAACAGAATTCTGCCCTCATGGAGCCATAATCAAATGTGAGGACAAAACGAAGGCATTTAGACAAGTACGGTTTCCACTTCTGCACAAAATGGAGACAGCCAAGAGAAAACACCAATGCCATGGAGAGAAAAGGCTGGATAAGCTACAAAATCCCAAGCTTCTAGGGGGGCTGCCAGGGGAATTCCAAAAGACTCTCCAAGAATAGAGAAACCCTACACTGCTCTGCTCTGGCTGAGCACCCAGGAAGCAGCAGCCACCAAAGGAGCACTTTCTAAAAACAGCATTTTAATGGGTTTTAAAGGTCAAGGGTGGGCTGGCATGACAGCTTGGAAGCCCTGGGAACCCCCAAGAGTCCATACCCACTCCCCTGCTGACCCAGCCTCCCCAAGTGCTCCAAGAAGGACCCTGGCAGGGCAGTGATCTCTTAAGAGTGGGTATGCAGGCCTGCCTTAGTCTGAGGGGCAGAGGGACTCATTACAGTGTCCTGCATGCACTACAGAAGAACTGCTGGTGAGCAACGCCAAGACCCCACAGCCACCCAGATTTGTGGCCGCAAGCCCTCCCATGCCTGCACCCCTGCCCTGCTCTGATGCCACAAAGACTGGCAGCCTCTGGGGAAGAAGACCTGCAGCCTGAGCCTGCACTGAGATCTGGGGAAGGTCCTGCTCCAGCTGGCTACCTGACAGGGAGGGCAGAACACTGGTGCCCAAGGCCTCCCAGAGAACCACGCAGAATGCAGCTTACAAGGAGAGGGCACAGAAATTCTAAGTGTTCGCCAGGTGGGAGGCGGTTATGTGCCACTGAAGAGGGGGCAGAGAGAGCAGAGAAGCTGGAACCCCAAGGCTGAAGCATGCAGGGTCTAAGATAAGGCTAGAGAAGAAGAAACAGAAAGGCTCCCCACCTCAAACCCAGCAGCCAGCAACAAACACGGGTAACCCTGGGGGCCTCAACAGACCCCTGCTATGGCACAGGCACATGGCTGTGGAAAGTCGTTGAGCCCTCCAGGATCCACACCAAGCACAAGGTGGCCACAACCACTGCCCGAAGGCAAGAACAAAACCAAACAAGGTGGCTTCGGCCGCACACAGGGTCTAGGAAGCAAGGGGTATACCCATCTGTCAACAGACACTGGCATAAGCTCTACTGATCTATAACACAGAGAAGTGGCTCCATGCCCTAAAGGTTAAACAAGCAGAACTAAACTCAGCTTTCCAGGTGTCAGACTGGCAAATCACTACACATTAAAGAACCTAATTGGAAAGGTGACCAATATGCTTAAGCAGATGAGCAGACGAGGGTCTTTAAGCTCAAGTGGAGCTGTGATCTCAGACACTTGGAAGGCTGAGGCAGAAAGATCACAAGTTTGATGCTACCCTCAGCAACTTAGTATGACCCTGTCTCAAAAAATAAAAAATATAAAGGACCAAGGATGTAGAACCCCTGGGTTCAATCCCTAGGACTGCACAAAAATGTAAAAAAAAAAAAAAAAAAAGTTAAAATGGAAATACTAGAAATAAAAATGTTATCAACTGGGCTGGGGCTGTGGTTCAGTGGTAGAGAAATTGCCTAGCACATGTGAGACACTGGGTTCGATTCTCAGTACCACATATAAACAAATAAAGTCCACTGGCAACTAAAAAATATTTTTTAAAAAATGTTATCAGCCATAAAGGATCTTTTATGGAATTATCAGATTAAAGATTTCATCTCAGGAAACTACAGAATGTACCTTGGCAGTGAGTGAAATACTAAGTACAGGAAGCAGAAGCACAAACACAGGACTCAGGGGAAGGGTCCCACAGGATGGTGGAGACAGAGCTAGGCAGCCAGCTGTCCCCAGGCACAGGAAGAAGCAATCCAGTGTCAGCAAGTGGAAGACCCTAGGGCAGCTCCTCAGGGAAACCCAAAACGCCTTCAAGTCTGGCTCTGGAAAGATCTAGACACCACGCTGAGAACTCAGGGCTGAATCACGATTGGTGTGGAGAGAACCAAACACATCTAAAAATGACAATTATAAGAGAAACTTGCAGGAATGGAAGCATGATTCAATTTCCTCAAAGTGTGGTACAATGTACTACACTGATCACCTGTGACCAGCACCCACCACCATGTTAGTGCGCAACACTAATTTAACCAAGAGCTTCACGGTGGGTTTTACAATCTAAGAAATGTTATTTCAAGTCACAGGGGTAAATATCAAAATATTCAGTATAATAAAGAGATAACAGTGTTTTCTTTCTGAAGCTGAGAAAGTGGGGTATATTATTAAAACCCCCTACAATAAATGAGTTTCACTTCGATAACTTTTTAAAAAAATGTCTTCCCAGTGAAAACTCTTAAGGATTGAGCACCCATCTGAAGACTGCTCAAATATTTAAAATGTTTTAAAATTATATGAAAGTCTAATTTCACAACTTTATCCAAACAAAAATTCTTTGTTGCAATAAATGAGTAGTAATTACAGTTGGAAAAACAAGTTTCTATTAAGACAATTCAGAGTCGATCTGTTTTTGACTTAGTTCAGAAACTTGAGACCATTGGATAAACCAATCAAAAGTTACCAACCCAAAGAAGAAGGCAGGCCATGCTAGCGCATCTCCACTTGTTCAGTAAACGAGAAGCAAGGACTCAAATGTTTAAAAAGTACCCTTAAAAGGCTAACTTAAGAAACATGTTCAGCAAATATCAGTAAATCCTGCTCCTGAGAATTACCTAGTGACTTTCCAAAGAATGATGCTAATTCTAACACACACGCCTCCGTTCATTTCCCAAGCACAGGTACATCTTTCAGTGTGGAAAGTCCCATCACAATACAGTGCCCAATTGGGTCTGTAGAATCCTGCATGGGTTCAGCCACTTTCCCAACAATTCAAAGGGCGTCGCATTCCACCTTGCTTGGGTCGACTACTCCCGACCTCAGAGATTTGTCACTTGGCAGAACAGCCTTTGAAAAGAGGGTCCCAAGGCTGCCAGGCTCTATGGTGCCATGTGGAATGGCCGAATTCTGAACAGCTTGCGGAAGCTAGCGGGATCGGGCTGGGACAGGGAGCAAATACCTGTTCCCCCGTGAGCGTCGCAGGTGCAGTCGGCGCCCAGCTCCGCGGACACCTCCACGGCCCTCTGCAGCAGATAGCGCGCGCGCTTGCGCGTCAGGGCGTCCTCCGCGCGGCCCAGGCCCG